GTTGACGGTGATTTACGGTACTCTCAACCTCGGAGTTAGTGGTCGAGAAAGCCTCTGAGTCTTCAGTCTGAGGAACTTTGGGAATGGCTCCTGAAGTACAATGTACTTCGCCTCTCCGCTTGGACACATCGTCACCCCGGCCCTCGCGCCCGTCAGTGTTGAGGAAGGAGCGGACTGCCTACAAGTGATTAAAAAGAGTTAAAATCCGAACTGTGGTTCCCGTTGAACACTATAACAGGGAGTTTTCCTGAGAATTGAGGGAGCATTTTTGGTTGCCCCCATAACCTCCACCTGCTCCCGAGCTTCTTGCGCCTCCTGCGAGGGGCTCCCTCGAGGAGTCGTTTCTCCGCGTGGGCATTTCGAGCACCATCCCTTTGGAGGAAAAGTCAGGTGACTAGGGGTTTGCTTTCAATTAGAGGAAGGGGATGTGAAGTTGGCCTCGTCCCAGACACATCGGGGGTCAAAGCTACCCTTGAAACGTCAAGGCAATCCATATGAAATTTCCTCCCTTCATAGATAAGGGTTGATCCTCGACCTCATGAAAGAGGGGATCCTCTGCTCGGCGATGTGTCTTCGGCTCGGGAGCCGGACTGCTTAGAGCCTCCACCCAACGCTTCCATCTATGTTCAAAACCAGTAAAGGGTCGGTCAAATGAATTGATTATGAAATGAATCAGATGGACAAGGAAATATGGGAAAGGTTACTATGTCGGTGGGATTATAGTAGGACAACCCGTCTCGTAATTGACGCCAGGCAAAGTCCTCCGCCGTCCCCTGGTAGATGCCGGCCAACGTTGTCCCGAAGGCTGTTTGGTCAAAGAAGCTCTATTGAATTGTTTAGGAGGAGTCTTTGGTCCTGTTGTAGGCGCACAAGAGGTGAGAGTGCTACCGAAGTGGTTGGACTCTTCGGTTTATTGTTGTGGTCATAACATCTATTATAGTAAGACCAATCCTCATCAATTGCTTCACTTGAGCTACCACCTTGGTTACTTCGGCACCGTGCTCTTGGGCAATGCCTTGCCGCCTCCAGCTATAACGCCTCCTCAGGGGCTCTGAGGTGAATGCGGGAAGTCTGGGCCGAACTGGGTCAAGAAGGGGCACATCGTCTATGTAAAATGACTCGGTTGTCCAGACGTTGGAATCCTCCCGAGGTGTGCCTGATGGGTGCTTGGTCCCATCGATTTGGTTGACTTCGCTGCCCCGGCGTCAACTTCTCGATAGGTGAGCAGGGCACTATGCAAAAATACCTCCTCCATAGCCCAAAGTGCACCTCACACCCGAGGTGCATCTCACATAGGGCACGTATCCCGCGATATGTAAGATTGAGTTGGGAGTGAGATGGTGAAGTTGCAACCCATAGAACTCCAGCAGGCCTCAGAGGAAGGGGTGGATGAGAAACCCTAAGCCACACAATAAGAAAGCCATGAAGCATACCCTTTCATCCTTTTGAGGGGAAGGATAATTCTCTGCGTGTACTTGTCCATTGATGGATGTTAATCCCACGCAGGTCGCTGTCAGATCTGAATCTGGCAGGTATCCTTGGGTGGCCAGGCGGTTCAGTTGGATGCACAAGACGACGCAGCTGCCCCAATCACCTCTTACGAGGCCATGATGGCGCCTTGAAGAGCTTGCATCGCTCGCCATGGGAAGCTATCGAGGTAGACTTGGAAGGAGGAGAGCGCTTGTGTAGTTTGCTCGAAAAAAGTTGGGGTGTATAGTAAATCAGCACACCTAGCTCATAAATAAAAAGGGGGAGAGGCCGACCCTTTGATGTTTCTCCATATAGCGACTCACTTCCCTGTAGACATAATTACCAAGGTTAGAAAGCAGAGACGGGCCCACCCAATGGGACTGACAACCTTTTCGAGGACTAGTTGAAGCTGCGCTGGAGGGATCATGCACGAGAACTCGCCCGTCGAGCCAAAGACTCCGGAACCGAAGTCCAAGGGCATCGTCCTTAGCGTCGAAGACCAGTTCAGGGGCTACTGACGGTATCCTGGACTAGGGGGTACTAACCTAGTCGGCCCGTACTCGTCCAGTTGGATCAGTGGCCCCTCATTCTTCTCAAGATGGACTCCGGAGGACGTAAAATGGAGGTGTGATCGACTACATCTGCCGAAGACTTCGCGTGTACTTCAAGACTTCTCCTACCACCTCCACGCCTAGATACCGACCTTGTAACACTAGATACCCTACTTGGCGTGTATATACGCCAAAGGGTTTAGCCCGTAGAGGGGACTTCAATACAATCACATTCATCTAGCCCTAGAGTTAGAACACATCTCATGATCTCGAGGTATATCAACTTTGTACTTGATACATCTCCATTAATATAAACAAGAGCATGATGTAGGGTTTTACCTTCATCAAGAGGGCCCGAACCTGGGTAAACATCTTCTCCCTTATTCCTGTTACCATCTATCCAAGATCCACAGCTCGGGACCCCCTACCCCGAGGTCTGCTGATTTTCACACTGACACGCGGGTTAGGTGAGCCCACACTACAGCTATAGCTTACCTGCAGCGTGGTGTTTTATCCTGCACTAGTGCTACTTACCAGCAGTGCGACCTCTTTACCCAACATTTGCTATTACGTGGCTGCCTATAGGGTATTTCCTAATAGTGCTTGTGAGTCATCAAGACTATTTTTTGGCGCCGTTGCCGGGGAGCATAGCTCTATTTATTAAGTTTACTTGGAGTTTATTATCCACTGGAATTTATATTCACCATCAAGAATCTTCGAGACTCTAAGACCAAGATCATGCCCTTTAGGGCGAGAGCAGGTGATGATCCACAAGTATAGGGGATCTATCGTAGTCCTTTCGATAAGTAAGAGCATCGAACCCAACAAGGAGCAAAAGGAATCAATAAGCGGTTTTCAGCAAGTGGTGTAAAAGAGTTTTGATAGATAGTTTGATAGCAAGATAATTGGTAGCAAGTGGCAAGTAACAAAAGTGACAAAGTCTTGCAAGGTGCCCCAGTAAGTAACAAAAGTGACAGGGCCTGGTATAGCAGCCGAAATTATAAGGGCCAGAGGATTTAGCGAATCTGCTAGAGGTGCTCCAACTACTGATGCCGAGCATAGAGGTACAACAACAGCGCATGCATGTGGGAGGCAAAGCCGTTCTCGCCGAACATCACAAGATTTGCGAGACCACGCCGACAACAAGGGGTAGGTAGATCCGAAGCTTTTTCAGGTGCAGATCCTTTGGTTGCGGCCTTCCCTTAGCTTCACGGCCGACGTGCTGGCAGTGAAGAGAGGACCTTCTAGGAAGAGGGAAGCTGGGGGAGAGGAAGACCACTGGACTGTTATCGTCGCCATAGCCGGAGGGGCGGAGCGCTTGGTGGAGGGGGGGGGGGTTGTGTCGCTCTGGGTTGCCGGACAAAGAACCTCAGACGGAGGTTGTAGGCTTTCACGCAACGTCGTCGCAGCTCGGTTCGAGAACCAGCGAGCGAGGCTTTCCTCCCCGACCAATGGAGGCATGAAAATCTTAGCCGGGAAGGAGCCGCGAAAAGGGATGTGATCCCTCGAAAACTACCAATGGTGCACGGGCACCTTTCTGCCCATTGCATTTTTTTATAAACACGCATACACATGTATGTTATGTATCTGGAAAATTTCATACTCCCTCCTTCTCAAAATATAAGGCGCGCTTGACTCTTTTCGGTCTTAATCACAAAACCTTGACTATAATTTTTACTTATTGCATGTCTACAAAATTAGTATATAAACATAAGAACTAATTTTTTTTGCAAGACAAATATGTCGATACCATTTATACATGTTCAACTAATGCACTTTGGTATATATTAGTGATCAAAGTCATGCATGAAAGAACATGAAAGTCAACCATGACTTATATTTTGGGAAGGAGGGAGTATCATTTGTAGTTTCACACATGATGTAAAGAAAGACAAATATGTATTTTTAAATGGGCTTCTTTTTTTTGTTATTTGGGCTAGAATTTTGTTTCTTTTATAGCTTACATATTATATTTTTTCGAAACAACATTTCATGGATTCATAGTGGACACATACAAGTTTCCACATATTTTTTGTGATTTTTTTAAAACTTCTAAATATGGGTTTTGATTTTTCTTCTTCAAATAAACAGGCATCAAAGTGCCCAAGCACCAGAACTTCGCACTCCGGGATCCCTCCCCTTCGTTGGGAACCAAATGCAGCGGTAGGCTCCCCCGGTTTGATTCGGCTTGGAGTTTCCCCACCTAGGGAAAGAAGGGGGACCCCGGTTACCAAATGAGCCCTTATTGTATGGCGCGGGGTTGATGAATCCTCCTTCTAAGACTAGCCTTGCTTGCACGCCGATCGTCTTCTCGAAATAACTTTCTACCCATCACCTTTTTGCAATATATAAAAGCCATTAATAACGCATAAAATGTTGATTAATTTCATAGACCATAGGTGAACCAACCTGTGGTTGGATGGTTAGAGTGACAGTGATATTCCAGCTCATCAGGGTTCAGGTCCTGGTGCTCGCATTATTTCTGGATTTATTTCAGAATTTTCAGCGGCGCGATTTCAGTGAGAGGAGATGTTCCCGTCGACGACGAGGCGCCCACGGTGACTTCGTAAACCTCAAGATGATATGCCGGCTCATCTCTCGAAGGTGCTCATAGAGATAGTGTGTGCGTGTGTGCGTTCACAGGGACGAATGTATGCGCGTATGTATGAGCACTTGCTTGTGTTAAAAAAATCATAGACATAGGAATGAAAATAGGCAAAGGGAGCAAACCTGGCTTCCTATACCGGATGGCCCACCTGTCAGCTTAGAGCGGGGTACCCCACCTCTCGCGGGCGTATCGGTTGGTGGTACCCCGTATTATTTGACCCTTCGTGTTTAGATTTCACAACTCGGCCATTCTCTCCGCCCCCCCATCTTCTTTCTTTCTTGCGCAAAAGGAAAGGAGAGGAGAATTTGGAATCTCCATACCATTTTCTTCCTAAAAGAAAATCGAGGCGAGGAGGAGTCCGCGTCCGCGAGATGGCGATGGCGAGCTTGGCGAGGAGGCGCGCGGCGGAGGCTGTGCTGCTGCGGCGGCCCCACGCGGCGGCGTGGGCGTCCGCGTGCCGGGGGTACGCGGCGTCGGGGGAGGAGAGCGACGTCGTCGTGATCGGCGGCGGGCCCGGTGGGTACGTGGCGGCCATCAAGGCGGCGCAGCTCGGTCTTAAGACCACCTGCATCGAGAAGAGGGGCGCGCTCGGGGGGACCTGCCTCAACGTCGGCTGCATCCCGTCCAAGGTATCCATCTATCGCCGCCTCCTCCTCCTCCCATCTCCCCCTTCCCTTCTCGATATGCGATCCGGATAGATGCGTTCGTGCTGCTGGAGATAGCCTGGAGGTCGTAGATCCGTACGCATCGTACCACGATTTTGGCGCTAGGGTTTGCGGGGCGCAGGCCCATAGGCTATAATAAGTTGTTGATCTGGTACGGAAGTTTACCCTTAACCATTTAATTTGGGCTCGAGTTGTTGACTTTGTTCTAGTTTGTTTATTTTTTGTGTGATTACTGATTACGTTTCCCAGTTTCCATGGTGAGAAATGTAGCTAGGGGTTTGCCTTGGGTGAGTTGCAGAATTGAATGTGTGATTTAGTTCTGTACCTGCTGTTGCTTATGCGGTTTATGGAAGGTTGTGATGTATAGCTTGTTTAGATATCAGTTTGTTTAGCTTTTTCAAGGGCTTCAGGACGATGCACACTTGGGGTATATATGTGTTAGAAGTAGGGGACAGCTCTTGTTGGTGTACCGATTTTTTGAGCTTATAGACCAACGGGTGTGCTTGTTTGTTGATTTCTCATATGCCAATGTGGTACAATTCTAGGCATTTGTTTGTTTACTCTGAACACGGTGTGTGAATATCAGATAGAACTCAACCAGACCATTGGTTGTTTTCTATAAATATTTCTCTATGTAATGAGTTTGTTCATGTAGTTATTTTATAACTTGTTATATGCTTGTTCTGCTAGTCTGCATCAGTATAGTGTTTCCAGCTTCATCATTAGATAATGCGCCATACCATTTGTATTGTATGGTTGATGGTTATCAATGTGGGCTTGCCGATAGCGCTGTTGGTTTATGCAGTAGCCTCTAGGGTCCGCACTTCCATATTACTGGTTGAAAGCAGGCCTGGCAGGGCATATAGGGTGGCTTCAACTGAGCTGATCAAAGAAAATATCTGCAGTGTTTTCTGATGCTCAAATAAATTTAGAAGTCAGGAAAGAAAATAGTTAGTGTTTTTCTGAAGTTCAAGTAAATTGAACCTAGGGGGTTGATCATGAACCTCAAAAGTTGATTTCTAATGCTGTCATATTCATCCAATGCAATACCACTTGTTTATACTTTTCTCTATTCACGGGGTAAAAAATATATTAATTGAATTCGTAATTTCCTTGAAGAGAGGTTAGTTGCCGAGTTCAAGCAATTTGGTATTTTTGAGAGCTCGAGCTTTCTGGCTTAGTTTCTGCCTTCTATTATTTTATGGAGAAGTTTCCGTCTTCTGTACTTTTTTTTAATATAGAAGGGGTGCCCCCTGGCTCCATTTTATTAAAATGAATCTGTAGTTATTACTTGCTCTAGCTTCACAATGATGTTAGACAGACGATCTTTGCTCAAATAGAGCCTTCAGATCTTGTCCTCACCCTTTATAGTGCTCATATTCAATTAAAGATCGTATGCAAGTTTATGTGCGTTGAAACACCATGCTTACTGATTTGTAGTTATTTTTAGTTGCCCAGCTCAGTGTTTCAAGCCTTTTTGCTAATTATAGCTTGGTCATCTTCTTGGGTGTGGTTTCCAGATCTTTATTATGTATTGCCACCTGTTTATGTGAAACTTATCGGTAAACCTTGGCGAAGCCAGATAAATACACTGGGAGGTGGTTCCTTAAACTGCTGCAAAATCTGTTGTGTTTCTTTTCTCTTTTTTTGCTTGTTGTAACTTTTGAAGCTAGCTGCTGAAAATCTACAAAACTGCAAATATATCGTTTGGTCATAGTATTTTGATATAATTTGTGTTTCTTCTTGAACATTGCAGGCTCTTCTGCATTCGTCGCATATGTACCATGAGGCAAAGTCTTCTTTTGCACACCATGGCGTTAAGTTCTCCAATCTGGAGGTAGATCTGCCTGCAATGATGGCTCAGAAAGACAAGGCTGTTTCTGGGCTTACAAAGGGCATCGAAGGCCTGTTCAAGAAGAACAAGGTTGAGTATGTTAAAGGGTTTGGGAAGCTTGTCTCTCCGTCAGAGGTATCTGTGGATTTAGTTGATGGTGGTAGCACTATCGTCAAAGGGAAGAACATAATTGTCGCCACTGGCTCAGATGTGAAATCTCTCCCTGGAGTTACAATTGATGAGAAGAAGATTGTGTCATCTACTGGGGCTCTTGCACTTACAGAAATACCAAAGAAGTTGGTGGTCATTGGAGCTGGATACATAGGTCTAGAGATGGGTTCTGTCTGGAACAGGCTAGGGTCTGAAGTGACTGTGGTTGAATTTGCCCCTGATATTGTCCCATCAATGGATGGAGAGATAAGGAAGCAGTTTCAGCGTATGCTGGAGAAGCAAAAGTTTAAGTTCATGCTCAAGACAAAGGTAGTCGGGGTCGATACTTCTGGAAGTGGTGTCAAGTTAACTGTGGAGCCTGCAGCTGGTGGAGAGCAGACTGTCATTGAGGCTGATGTTGTCCTTGTATCTGCTGGCAGAGTCCCATACACTGCTGGTATTGGGCTGGACGCCATTGGTGTTGAGACAGACAAGGGCGGAAGGGTCCTTGTTGACAATCGCTTTATGACAAATGTTAAGGGCGTATACGCGATTGGAGATGCGATACCTGGACCGATGCTTGCACACAAGGCTGAGGAGGATGGTGTTGCATGTGTTGAATTTATCGCGGGGAAGGAGGGCCATGTTGACTATGACACTGTACCTGGCGTGGTGTACACACACCCAGAGGTGGCCTCCGTTGGCAAGACGGAGGAACAGGTCAAGGCATCTGGTGTAGCCTACCAGGTTGGGAAGTTCCCCCTGCTGGCAAACAGTCGGGCGAAGGCAATCGATGATGCCGAAGGGATGGTGAAGGTGATATCTGAGAAGGAAACTGATAGAATCCTCGGCGTACACATAATGTCCCCTGGCGCGGGCGAGATCATCCACGAGGCTGTGCTTGCACTTCAGTATGGAGCATCCAGCGAGGACATTGCCCGTACATGCCACGCGCATCCGACAGTGAGCGAGGCCCTGAAGGAGGCGTGCATGAACACCTACGACAAGGCGATCCACATGTGATTTCTGATACGAGTTCAGCTGCCAGCTCGAAACAATTGGCAAGTTTTTGAAATAATTTTGAATCGATGCGTTCTAGAAACATCTATTTTTCTTTTTGTTGTGAGCTTGTTTCGTATGCGGAACTGTGAATTGCGACCTTCGCTGCAGATTGTAGTTACATGATGTTTAATTCCCTTTCCTTTGCTGTGGCCGCATGTTTGCATACTCCTAAATAATATGTGAAATTGGTGTCGATGTTATTAGAGCTCCTCTTTCAGCTGATACATGAGAGAGGAAATTTTATGTTGCCATTTCAATGCATTTTACTGCATCTCTCTTTATTCGTCACCCCAACTTTACTCTCTTTGAATCTGTGTGGCGCTATCTTACAGGAGATATTGCACACGATATTCCTTACGCTCTTGTGAAGCAGCTAGTGCTCGTCTGCAGGTTGGACTTTGTGATGTAAATTGTGAAATCACGATGCTTATAACTGATGCAGGTTGGACTTTGTGATGTAAATTGTGAAATCACGATGCTTATAACTGCTGCAGGTTGGACTTTGTGATGTAAATTGTGAAATCACGATGCTTATAACTGTTGGAAGATAGGGATGCTAATATTTCCAAGTTCTGATATCAGTTGAGCGTACCGCCGGTGTTAAGCCAGAGGAAGTTTTTTTGTTGCTGCACCCAAACGCAATAATTTGATAGGACATACAGTACAATAATCCTCACATGGTTCCGGAAAGGGCTGCACGTACCCTTTCTGCGACGGAGGCGGCACCGGTGGAAGATGTGTGAGACAGAGCGGGAGATGGTGCATTGCCACGTCCTATTGGTCACTCAGGATGCATTGGAGGTTGTGCGGCAGCCTGTGGCGGGCGAGGCCGACAGCAATCCAGCATCGGTCCAGGCCAGCCACATAAATAGCTTGACGCCAGTCGGTGCCCGCTTCTTCCATGTCAGCTGCCATTAAGCCAACTCCACCGCGCGATCCCGTCTTGTCCGGCCCCGTCCGTTTGGGGTGGTAAAAGGGACAAACCGGGTGGCCCAGCGCGCCGGAGCAAACGGACTTTTGTCCGTTTTGTGTCCACTTTCGACCCATCCCTAACCCAAGTTTGCGCCGGTTTTTGGGTGAAACGGACAGCGCGCGGACGGGCGGGACGCGCGCGCTTGACACAAAGCAAAACCTCCCCGCGGCCCCTTTGGCGCCATCCCCCCCTCCCCCCCAAAAAAACCCTCCCACGTCCCGCCCGTCCCACTCCCTCCCTCGTCCATGGCCGAAACCCAATCGAACTCTGGCAGGCTGGCCGTCGATCCGCCCGGAATGGCCAAGAAGAAGAAGGGCAAGGCGCCAAGGAAGCCGCGGTCGGAGTGCACGCCGGAGGAGATCGCCAAGTTGGACGCGAAATCGGCAAAGAGGAGGGGCCGGAGGACGGTCGCCAAGGACAACATCGCCGCGGCCAAGAGAGCCGCCGACCGCGCTGCGATTGAGGCCATGCGGCGCAAGGCCGAGGTCGAGGAGAAGGAGGCCATCGTCAGCAAAGCGCACGCCCTTCTCATGGTTGGCATTTGTCGTCCGACCGGTTTCTCTGGAGCGGCCGTCGGTCCGGCCAGCACAGGGTCGTCGGTCGCCCGGCCTTCGCACTGCCAGTCGCCCACGTCGCGGACCACGCCAATGTCGCCCGGCTTTCCCCCGCCAAGGCACGACGGACATACCCGTTTCTCGGGGTCGCCGGACGTGATCCCGCCGTCCACCCCGCGCACGGCTGCCGTCATCGACCTCAACGTCACCCCTGGGTCAAGCAGCAGCGACCTTCCGTCCGTCGAGATGCAAAGAAAGCAAGCACGGCCGCCGTTTACGGGCACCATGTCGTCCCCCCGCGTCTTGTTCGACGGAATGCCAACACCAACGGCACCGGTCGACGACCCCTTCTACAACCAGTTCATGGAGGACGTGATCTTTGAGGTTGGACAGGGTCGTGCCTACGACCACGACGAGACCCAAAGTCAGGATGGCCGCGCCCAGTACGTCCCCGATGAAGAGGCCGACGACCGTGCTGACTACAACCATGGTGACTCGTGGCATGAAGACGATGACATCTATGTCGAAGGTGATGGTGACGAAGAAGAAAGCAATGCCGTTGATACTAGTGACGAGCCATTGTTCATCGACAAGCTGACCCAAAGAGCGGAAGCACAAAAGAACAGAAAGAGCATTCGCACGGGTTCATACACACAAGATGAGGACAAGTTGATTTGCCAAGCTTGGATGGAGATTAGCCAAGATCTGAGGACCGGCGCGCAACAAAAAGGCATTGTTTTTTGGACGAGAGTCCACAAAATATTCCATGAAAGGAAGATGTTTGAGCACTACCAATTTACAAGCAACTGTGGCATCGGCTCGATTCAAAATAGATGGTTGTTCATCCAACAAGAGTGCAACAAGTATCAAGCCGCATTTGAGAGCGTTGAAGCACGACCCGTGAGTGGTCTCGGCGTTGGGGACATGGTATGCTCTCCTCTTCCTAGCCCTTTCCTTGCTACGACCATGAGACTTCGGCCTTGTACATGTTTGCATGTTCACTTGTTGTTGATCATGTGGTGTAGGCATTTCAATCTGGCCCGGCACAATGACAAGCCGTTCATGCTTACGAATTGTTGGACGATCATCAACAATTACCCTAAGTTCAACGACCAATATCGTGAACTTCAAAGGAAGAGAGGCTTGAAGACGGCCAAGTTCATCGGAGGTGGAGATGGCGAGGCGTTGAAGAGGCTGAGGGGCAAGACCAACTCCAAGGTTGACGACATACGTGATGCCTCATCCATGGCATTGCATGACACTTTGCATGGCATGATGTCGCAAAAGGATGTGAGGGACGAGAAGAAGCGGCAAAGAAAGGACGAGCAAATGAAGCAATACCTAGACCTTCAAAGGAAGAAGCTTGAGATGGAGGAGGCGGCCAAGAGAAGGAAGATCAACATGGAGGAGGCGGCCCGACAGAGGCAGCTCAACATGGAGGAGGCGGCCCGGCAAAGACAGCTCGACATCGAGGCCGACAACGTCAAGGCCAGGCAAAGGCAGCTCGACATCGAGGCCACCAATGCCGCCACCAAAGCAAAGGAGGTGGCCCTTGTGATCATGAGCGTGGACTTGTCGAAGATGAGCGAGAAGACGAGGACCTAGTTCAAGGCCAGGCAAAAGGAGATGCTCGACACCGACGGCCTGAACTAGGTCGTCTGATCGACTGTGGCCGTTCTTTTTGGAGGCTGGCATGGGTGTCGCCCGCTCGCTGGGCCGCTGGCTGTGTGCCAGCGAGAAAAACATTCATTTCGAAGGCCGGCTGTGTTGCCGGCCGCTGGCTGTCTTGCCGGTGAGGACAACTATTCATTTTGGAGGCTGGCTGTGTTGCTGGCTGCTGGCTGATACTGGCGATGGACATGTAGGCCGCTGGCTTTGTTGCTGGCGTGATGAAATGGGGAGGGCTTGGCATTTGAAACATTGCTCTTTTTTTAAATAGACGTGGACAGGATGGGGCAAACGGATGCGGCCGCGCGCTGGGCGCACGACCACCGCATCCCAGGACACGCCCGAGCATGACCCCATTACCCTACCCAAACAGACAGAATCCGGACAAAACGGACGTCCGTTTGGGGTCACGCGATGGAGTTGGCCTTACGAGGCGCCCGTGGATCCCTGAAATAGAGCCCGATAGCAGGACTTGGCGGAGTATACTCCATTGTCAGTCCATCGCCACTGGATGATGGCGGGTTCTGATCCAAGTGAGATGGTGCGGAGGCGCTTCCAAAGGCCCACATACTCAATCGTGGCTGCAGGCCCAAGAGCACCGCAGATGTCTTGAATCTAGGCGCACTGCGGGATGGCATCACAAACGAGGCGCCGGTTTCTATGGCGTTGAGGCATGAGAGAAGCCAGGGCAGGGGCTAGCTCGGCGATGGAAGCTCCGTCAAGCCACTGATCCTTCCAAAACTTGTAGTGGCGGTCAAGAAAATCTTCCACGAGGTTGAAGCACGGAAGATTTTCTTGACCTCGGGTTCGCACGACAAGTTGAGATGGCTCCAAGGGCGTTGTGGGTCAGTGGTGTGCAGCCATAACCAACATACTTGCAAAGTGATGCTAATTCGTTGAAGGTCGCGGATGCTAAGCCTGCCAAGATCCAACGGGCGGCACACGTGCTGCCAATTGACCGTGCAGTTCTCGGATTTGGCCTCCTTCCTCCCATGCCAAAGGAAATCATGCATAATGTGTGTGGCTTGCTTTAGAATTGGTAGGCAGATCACCATGGCAAGGAAATGATGCACCGGCATGGTGGCGAGTACTTAGCGCACGAGGGCGAGCCGCTCTCCATGAGACAGGAGGGAGGCACGCCAGGAGGAGAGTTTCTTGGCAAACCTCTCGATCAGAGGTAGGAGAGCGAACGCGTGGAGCTTGCGGATGGAAAGAGGAAAGCCGAGATACTTAATCGGGAAGGGGGTGACCGGGCAGGAGAGGCCGAATTGGGGAGGTGGAGTTAGACTCCACCAACCCCTATGCCAGTGCAAGGGGAGGGAAATCCATCCCCAAGTCACCCCCTCTCCCTACACCTATATATACTAGATGTTTTGGCCCTTTTGAGATATAAGTTTTGGAGCCTCCTCTAGTTCTCTAGTTCTAGTTCTAGTTTATCCAATAAGAGCTAGACCTTGATCCTCTCGCATAACTAGAAGCCCAGTGTGGTTTTAATCTCCTTCTTCTAATTCTCCGGTGACGATTAGCTCTGGACGGTGAAGCGCTATCGGATCGTGAAGAACACACTCTTTCATCTATGGAGTGGCCATGCTTTTGGTCTTCCGTTTGAGGGATTGTTCATCAATGGTTCGAGGAACTTCAAGTACAATCTACACCGACTCGTCTTCTTCCCTTGCAACTTGGAGTTGGTAACGATCCGATCCAAATTGTTATTGCATCTTCATAGTGTTCCTGGTTGATCGTAGGGCGACTTTTTTGTTTTCTACTACGTTTCCCAATAGTGGCTTCATGAGCGGTTCTATGAGTAGATGCAGGTTTCAATCTTGATCACATGTGGATGTGAGGGTTTGATGTTTTTGTTATTATTCCCTCGAGTGTTGCTTAGGTTCAGTTCATTGCCGCATGATGTAGCTTTGCATAAAGTTCTAACAATCGATCGACTCTGACTGTTGACGATCTGCTAACAGTTCTTTGGGCTTCATCATAGTAAATAATAGTGAACTGTCGCAAACACTTGAGGGAAATGA